TAGAAGTATTTCTCATCTTGTAACTCATTCTTAGAAACACATATCACACTGTGGAAGGAATAAGATACATAGACAAGTCAGGCACAGGTATCTCACATTTTGGCCCTTAGCAATAAAGGGATGAGAAAGCATATTTCTAATGTAGACAAGACCATTAGTTCAGTTATTTAATTTCCTGCTTAAAGAAGTCAATCTGAGGATGTTGTGGTTCCATCCCCAGTTACTCAAGCCAAACCAGAACTGCGCTGAAGGCAACCTGAGGCAAAAAAACAAACAAAAAACTCTTGAAATTTTTCCATATAAAAACTGCGAGGCCAGATCTTCTGGTATACTTTTCCTGAGATTAGTGGGGTGGATATTGTGAATTTCTGGCATAAACAAAAAAGTTTGAACCAGAAATTCAGTTTTCCTCTGGATAAAGGATCAGTCTAAGAATATCCCAGGTTCCAAAAAGCCATAGAATTTAGCTGGATTTCTCCAGTTAGAATTGAATCTTAGAAACACACATCATATGGTGGAAGGAATCAGATATATATGGGACATGACAGGCCATTCACAGGTGTCTCACATTGTGTCCCTTAAAAATAAAAGGATGAGAATGTATTTCTAATAGACACCTGTCTATTACCTCAGTTGTGCAAATGCCTGCTTAAAGAAACAGTCAGACTCTGGAATCTGTGGTTCGATCCTGATACTCAAGCCAAAGCAGACCTGCACAGAAAACAACCAGAGACCACCAAACCCCCCCCCAAACAAACAAACAAACAAAAAACTCTTCTGCCTTTTTTTCATAAAAAAAGAAAAAACTTGGAGGCCAGATCTTCAGGTATAGTTTTTCTGAGGAGACTGGCAGGGTAGACATGGTGAACTTCTGGGGTTTGCAAAATAATTTGACACGGAAATTCAGTTTTACATTTGATATGGGAACAGACTTAGGTTGTACCAGCTTCCCAAAATTCCTGGAATTTTGCTGGACTCTCCCCATTTTAAACTCATTCTTAGAAACACAAATCATATGGTGGAAGGAAACATATAAATTGACAAGTCAGGACTTACACAGGCTTTTCACAATGTGGCCCTTAACAATAAAGGGAGAGAATGTGTTTTTCTAATGGAGACCTGCCCATTAGCCCAATTGTTTAAGTACCTGCTTAAACAAAGCAGTCTGCCTCAGGATGATGTGGTTTGATCCCCAGATAGTCAAGCCAAACCAGATCTGCATTGCAGGCAACCTGAGACTACCAAAAAATAAAATCATTTCTGCCATTTTTCCTTATAAAGAAGTGGGATACTGGATCTTCAAGTATACTTTTTCTGAGGACACTGCCAGAAATACATTGTGTATTTCTGGGGTAAACAAAGGAGTTTGAAATGAAAGTTCAATTTTACACTGGATAATGGGTCAGATTTAGGACGGCCCAGCTTCCCAAAATGCCTAGAATTTGGCTGGTCTTCTCCACTTGGAATTAATTCTGAGAAGCACAAATCATATAGTAGAGGGAATCAGACACACGTGGACATTCAGGCCTTACACAGGTGTCTCACATTCTGGCCCTTAACAATAAAGGGAACAGAAAGTGTGTTTCTAATGGAAATCTGCCCATTGGCTCCATTGTTTAAGTGCCTGCTTAAAGAAACATTCAGCCTCTGGATGCTGTAGTTTGATCTCCAGATACTCAAGCCAAAGCAGACCCGCACAGAAAGATCCAGACCTGCACTAAGGGCAAACTGAGGCCATGAAAATGTTTTCTAAAAAAAATGTGCCTTTTTTTCATTTAAAGAACTGAGAGGCCGTATCTTCACGTATACTTTTTCTGAGGAGACTGGTGGTGTGTGCATGCTTAATATCTGGGGTACACAAAGAAATATGATTGAGAAATTCAGTTCTACACTGGATACAAAAACAGACTTAGGAAGGCCCAGGATCCCAAAATGCCTAGAATTTAGCTAGAATTTCTCCACTAGGAACTCATTCTTAGAAACACAAATCATATGATGGAAGGAATCAGACATACATGGACAAGTCTGGTCTTACACAGGTGTATGGCATTGTAGTTCTTGACAATAAAGGGATGAGAATGTTTTTCTAATGGGGGCCTGCCCATTAGCTCTGTCCTTTGCCTGCTTTAACAAAGGAGTCAGACTCAGGATGCTGTAATGATTCACAGATACTGAAGCAAAACCTGACCTGCACTTAAGTCAAACTGAGGACACCAAAAAACAACAAACAAACAAACAAACAACAAAACAAAACTGGGAACCTGGATTTTCAGGTGTAGTTTTTGTGAAAAGCCTACAGGGTGGAAATGGTGACCTTCCTGGGTACACAAAGAATTTGAACAGGAAATTCAGTTTTACACTGTATACAGGAACAGACTCAGGAAGGCCCAACCTCCCAAAATGCCTAGAATTTAACTGGACTTCCTGTAAATGGGTCTCATTCTTAGAAACAGAAATCATAAGGTGGAAGGATTACATGGACAAGTCAGGCCTTACACAGGTGTCTCGCATTGTGGCCCTTAACAGTAAAGGGATGAAAAAGTGCGTTTCTAATGGAGGCCTGCCCATTAGCTCAGTTGTTTAAGGGTCTGCTTAAAAAAAGCAGCCTCAGGATGCTGTGGTTCGATCCCTTGATACTCAAGCCAGACCAGACCTGTGCTGAAGGCAAGCTGAAGGCAGCCAAAAAAATGTAAATAAAAGTAATCCTTCTGTGGTTATGCCATATAAAGTACTGGGAGGCCTGATCTTCAGGTATTCTTTTTCTGAGGAGACTGGTAGAGTTACATGGTGAATTTCTGAGGTACCCAAAAGAATTTGAAAAGGAATTTTAGTTTTTCAATGGATACAAGAACAGACTTAGGACATACCAGCTTTCCAAAATGCCTAGAATTTAGCTGGACCTTCGCCACTTCAAACTCATTTTTAGAAACACAAATCATATAGTTGAAACAATTACTTGGAATTCATTCTTAGAAACTCTAATCAAATGGTAGAAGGAAACATACATGAACAAGTCAGACATTTCACAGGTGTCTGGCATTGTTGGCCTTAACAATAAAGGGATGAAAAAAATGTGTTTCTAATCAGGGCTTTCCATTAGCCTTTAGTGCCTGCTTAAACAAAGCAGTCAGCCTCAGATGCTATGGTTCGATCCCCAGATGTTCAAGCCAAGCCAAACCTTGGCTGAAGGCAAACTGAGGTCACCAAAAAACCCCAGAAAACCCTTCTGCTGTTTTTCCATCTGAGGAACTGGGATCCCAGGTCTTCAGGTTTACTTTTTCTGAGGGAAATGTCGGGGTGGACATGGTGAGTTTCTGGGGCACATAAAAGATTTTAACCAGAAGTTTAGTTTTACACTGGATATAGGTACAGAGTTAGGATGGCCCAGCTTCCCCAAATGCCTAGAATTTAGCTGGACTTTCTCCACTTCAAACTGATTTTTAGAAACACAAATCATATAGTTGAAACAATACATGGACAAGTGAATGCTTTCACTAGACTGCTGCATTGGTGACCATAGCAGTAAAGAGGAGAGAAATAGTCTTTCTAATTTGGTGTGCCATTTTCCTGACTTTTTTCACTGCCTACTGACTCAGAGCAGGGAGTCTAAGGATGCTATTGTTCGAATCCGGATACGGGAACAGACAGGAAGGCCCAACTTCCCAAATGCCTAGAATTTATCTGGATTCCTCCACTTAAAACAGTCTTACAAATACATATCATATGGTCCTAAGAAACAAATATACATGGAAAAGTGAATCCTTTCACTAGACTCCTGCATTGGAGGCCTTAGCAATAAGAGGAGAGAAACAGTCCTTCTAATTCAGGTGTGCCCATACGTGTTCTTTCAGTGCCTTTTGAATTAGAGCACTGAGTCTCACGATGCTGTGGTTCGAATTCCCTCTTCCTCAGGCCTTAGCAGACCTGAATGCAACCTGAACCAACACAAACACACACAAAAAAATCCATGTCAACTTGTTCTGTACATGAAACTCAATGGTAGAATCTTCAATATTTTTCTGAGGAAACTTGCATGGTGGTGATATATAAGTTACCACATTTCCCAATTGAATTTTGAACAAAAATCCTGTTGAGGGCTGTATAGGGCAAAAGGCTTAGGAGGAAAATCCTCCCAATGTGCATCAAACTTGTCTGCATGTTCTCCATTGAGAATTCACACTTAGAAACACAAATCATACAGTGGAGGGAATCAGATATTCATGGACAAGTCTAACCTTACACAGGTGTCTCAAACTGACCCTTAAAAATGAAGGGAAAAGAAAGCATGTTTCTGATGAGGTCCTGTCATTAGCTCAGTTGTTTAAGTGCCTGCTTAAACAAAGTAGTCAAGCTCGCAATGCTATGGTTCAATTCCCAGATCCTCACGCCCAACCCTGAAAGCATCCTGAGACTGCCAAAAAAAAAAAAAAATCCTGCCATTTTTCCATACAAAGAACTGGAAGGCTAGATCTTTTTTTTATCTTCAATATTTGAGATTTTATTGGTTGTGTTGAGGATCAGTACACATGATTCACTTTGTACACAATTCTTAACACACATACCAAAAAAAAGTCATATATTGTTTTTCAGTTGTTCCAGTGACTTTCCAGCTTCAAATTTAGAGGCAAATTTTCTGTAAGAGGATTAAGTACCAGTATCTTCAAATGTTGACAATGTGTTACTTAAGTCCCACCAATTCACAATTTTGTATCACATACACTACATAATCAAATTTTTGATCTTTCACAGCACATTAACAAAATGAGGCAAACCGGACTACCACTACCAAAGATGTTACAGAGTGCACACAATTCTGACAGGGCAACGATTAGGATGTAGTTTTCTTTAGGAAACAACTCTACCAAAAATGAGAATAGAAGTCATTTAAAGTATCCAAGACATTATTAAATGCAGGACTGTAATTCCAAATTGCCATTTAGTATGCTTTGTATTGCAGGATAAAAAACTAACCCCCGGTTGGCTGTTCAGCTGCTCCCGTCGCTGTTGTTTAGTGTTGGGCCTCTCGAGGGGCGTTTTCCAAAAGGCCGCCGGTACAAGCCTCAGTGACAGGGCCGCTCGCCCCTGCGCACCGTCTCCTGCCCGCTGCACGTTTGCTCGCGTCTTCCGCGGCATGCAGATCCAACATGGCGCGGGAGGTGTCCGAGTACCTGAGCCAGAACACGCGGGTGGCCGCCTGGGTGGAGTCTCTGCGCTGCGAGGGCGAGACTGACAAACGCTGGAGCCACCGCAGCGAGTTTCTGCTTCGAAACGCTGGGGAGCTGGCGCCCGCTGGCGGCGTCGACTCCACTAACGCAGACGAAGCTGCCGACGCCGAGAGCGGGGCCCACAGTCGGCAATTGCAGCAGCTCATCTCTTTTTCCATGGCTCGGGCAAACCATGTCTTCTTAGGGTGCCGGTACTCTCAAAAAGTTATGGATAAAATTCTTAGTATGGCTGAAGGCATCAAAGTGACAGATGCTCCAATCCATACAACAAGAGACGAAATGGTTGCCAAGAAGAAGAGCCATCCAAAAAACGAATTGTTGAAGGAAAAAGCAATTCTGCAGTTGAGCGAGATCTTGCAAAAATTTCTGCCATAACAGAACGAACATCAGCTCAGCAAGAAAACAGTTCAACGAGTTCAGGGTCATCCGCCAAATCAGAGAGTAGTGGTAACTCCACGACGGGCTCTGGCGGGTCTGTTCAGAATAACTCTGCAAGTGAAGGAGGTGGATCTGTGTCTGGCCAGAGCAGCAGCAGCACTTCCACTCAGGTAACAGCAGGATCTAGAAAAGCTTCTGAATCTGAAGCTCCAGATAAAGATGGGTCAGCAACATTTGTTTCTTCATTGTTGAAGTCTAGTGTGAATAGTCACATGACTCAGCCCAGTGATTGCAGACAACAGAGTGGATCACCTAAGAAGAGTGCTTTAGAAGGCTCATCAGTCCCAGCTTCTCAGAGCAGCAGATTGAGGTGCCCTTGTTGGGCACCTCTGGGAGCTCAGAGGTGGAGTTGCCATTGTTGTCTTCTAAACCTAGTTCAGAGACAACGTCAAGTGGGCTGACTTCCAAAACTAGCTCAGAGGCAGGTGTTTCGTCATCAGTATCCAAAAACAGTTCTTCTTCAGGCACATCATTACTGACTTCCAAGAGCAGCTCAACAAATACATCATTGCTAACTTCCAAAAGCACTTCCCAGGTAGCTGCATCACTGTTAGCTTCCAAGAGCAGCTCCCAGGCCAGTGGATCTTTGGTTTCTAAAAGCACTTCCTTAGCAAGTGTGTCCCAGCTTGCATCTAAGATTAGCTCACAGAGTAGTAGCACCTCACAGTTGCCTTCTAAAAGTACTTCACAGTCAACTGAGAGTTCAGTCAAATTCTCTTTTTGCAAGTTAACCAATAAGGATGTGAAACAGAAGCAACCTTTCTTCAATAGACTGTATAAGACAGTGGCATGGAAGTTGGTAGCTGTTGGTGGCTTTAGTCCCAGTGTGAATCATGGAGAGCTCCTAAACGCAGCTATTGAGGCGCTAAAAGCAACCCTGGATGTGTTTTTTGTCCCTCTAAAAGAACTAGCAGATCTGCCTCAAAATAAAAGCTCTCAAGAAAGTATTGTTTGTGAATTGAGATGCAAGTCTGTGTATTTGGGCACTGGCTGTGGCAAAAGCAAAGAAAATGCAAAAGCAGTTGCATCAAAAGAAGCATTAAAGTTGTTTCTCAAGAAAAAGGTGGTGGTAAAAATATGTAAAAGAAAATACAGAGGCAGTGAAATAGAAGATCTTGTACTCCTTGATGAAGAATCAAGACCTGTAAACTTACCTCCAGCATTAAAGCATCCTCAAGAATTACTATAATATGTCCAAATAATCATTGCATATAA